AATACCAATAGCTTATAAACAGTTATGTTGACTAGTATTCATATCCAAAATCAGTATACAATCTTTATCAAAGTTCCAATTAATGTTGATTCTGTGTATATCTTACTGCAAAATAAAAAAAATAGTAAAAATAATATATTCAATCAATCACCAACTGTGTTGGAATAACTTTGACTTTATGTAAACTTACATTACATACAGTGGGTGATGTTGCAGTGTTTGGCACATAAAATGGAAATCAACCTTATGGATGGATGAACTTGTATTATCTGTGTAAACATACAGTTAGAGCATAATGCGAAGTGTGCAAAACATTTGTTTGTTTCTATAAGAAATTTATTTTAATTGGAATGTGTTAATTTAGTCTTTCTTGGTCATTGTTAAACTGAAGTGTACCAACCATATACTGTATTGGTTTTAATGATATTGCTGGATTCAAACTACAATTAAAACAAAAATTAAAATAATTATGTAAAATAATATATCATAATAGGAACTAAATTACAAATGCGTTTAACTGTGATAAAAAGAGACTAAGAAACAGGAACATTTTTTTTTTGCAAATTGTAATGTTTATAAAATATTGAATACACAAGTTTTTGGGACTGTCCAATAGTTACCACCAATAATTGTTCCCATTTTCCATCTCTTGTTCCCATTTTCTGTCCCCTTTTTGGATGATAAATACATTTTATGTCAAACCAATGACCAAACTAATTAAGCATTTCCATATTCAAAGAAACATTGACATACAGCAGTATAATAAGGATTTTTAATGGAAAAAAAAATGCGAACACCCTAGCTACCATTTCAACAAAATTGTTACATTTCAATCAGCAGCTCATAAACAGGGGGAACACAATGGCTTACAACATGACATTTGGTAACTGATAGGTGCAACAATGATTATCACTCTAACCAACAAATGAATAGTGTATTTTACAATTAGCTGAGCAGTATTATATTTATTTGGCAATAAGCCCATTTAATAAGTCCAACTATTATAATTACAGTTCAGATCCTGAAGTAAGCCTACCCTTTAACTTTGATTTGAAACAGAGGTAATGTGATGGCAGTTTAAATAGGGTACCTTTATGTCTGATGGATCAGATCGGATCAAATACATAAAATTTTTTGTACAACAATCCATATCACTTTTGCTTTTACATAATGATAGTTTTCACATTGCATTTGCAAATTTGCAAGTTTATGTGAGCATAGAATTTTTGGAATGTGATAAGCCTGCAGATATATCATTTTAGAAACTAGCTAATACCTTTATACACATGTAGCAGAAACCTAAATAAAATCCTCTTACATCCTCCAGCTGTTACTAGGACTTAGGGTGTTAATTTTCAGACGTTTTATTGGGTTCTGATATTAAAGCCCACAGGTAAAGTGAAACCTGACAGAGGTTATCAATATTGCCATAAATTTAGAATGTTTCTCAAACAAGAGATCCCAGAGGGATCTTGGCGCCCACCATTTGAGGATCTGTTTTCAGTTCTTGAAGATTTGTTGTTTTTTTTTTGTTTGTTACAGGTGTTGTAAATGTTCATGAACTGGTCTTCATTGAATGTACTCAATGATGGCACAAGATATTTTTATTAAGCACCTATTAGCAAATATCATTTGAAAAAGATCCCAAAGTATTATTAGATAGCAGTCAGTTACAGGTGGATAATGGACAATATGCTTGTGCTGTATTACTGTCGACATCCAAGATGGCTGCCTGTGGGCCACCTTGATTTCAAATCAGTCCAAAATGGTACAATGCACAACTAGGGACCAAGGGAAACCAATATCTATGAAATATCAGAAGGATCCATCCAGTACTTCCTAAGATATAGCAGTAACAAGATTTTACTCTCAAAATCCAAGATGGCTGTCTGTCAGTCATCTTGATTTCGGATCAGTCCAAAAAGGTATGATGCACAACTTGGAACCAAAGGGAACCTGCATATGAAATTTGAAAAAAAAGATCCATCCAGTACTTCCCAAGAAATAGCAGTAACAAACTTTTACATCCAAAATCCAAGATGGCCACCTGTCGGCCATCTTGAATTCGAATCAGTCCAAAAAAGGTACAATGCACAACTAGGGACCAAGGGGAAACTGCATATGAAATTTGAGAAAGATCCATCCAGTACTTTCTCAGAAATAGCAGTAACAAACTTTTACTTCCAAAATCCAAGATGGCCACCTGTCGGCCATCATGTATTCAAATCAGTCCAAAAAAGGTATGATGCACAACTAGGGACAAAGGGGAACCTGCATGTGAAATTTAAAAAAAAAGATCCATCCAGTACTTTTCCAGAAATAGCGGTAACAAACTTTTACTTCCAAAATCCAAGATGGCCACCTGTCGGCCATCTTGAATGTGAATCAGTTCAAAAAAGGTACAATGCACAACTAGGGACCAAGGGGAACCTGCATATGAAATTTGAGAAAGATCCATCCAGTACTTTTCCAGAAATAGCGGTAACAAGAATTGTTTACGGACGGGCGTACGGACGACGGACCACAGACGGCAGGGCGATTTGAATACCCCACCATCTGATGATGGTGGGCTAATTAAAAATAAAAGGAAATGTGTATAGCTTCATGTTATCTTTCCTTTTCAGCTGGAAGAATAGCAAAATCACTGTTAGAATACAAACTGTTACAAACAAACTTTAATAACTTATCTGAAAGTCCCCAATTTTGAGAAATTACATACAAGAGTAAATCAATAGTAAAACATTAATATCCCTGATATTCTGACAACTTTGGGTTAGCATAATGAACACATATTAAATAATATTTACAAAAACAATTTATGAAATTAATTTTATAACATTTTGGCTTTCTTAAGAAAAGGATTTAAAATTACTATCACAATCAATGAAAGCACACATCACAGCAATTTGGCATACATTTGATTATCATCATGCTAATATAATTATATATTTTTTCATCACCAAGTAATTTTAAATGGCGTTGATAACATTTTCTAATCAATTTTATGTCTGTTGTGAGAAGGCCAGCACCATTATCAGAATTCTAAATTCTGATTATATAATGGAGTTGTAGCAGTAAAATTGTTAAGGATGAACAAACTCTGACTTAGATATTTGAGGTAATTATTAAAAACAAATTTCTTTAAACAAATCAGTGTGTGTAACAATATTCTTTCAATTCCTTGCGTATGAAAAAGTTATTCAAAATTTGCAGCAAATTTTATTGAAATATGTACTTTTTGATTCTTATGTTCATCAATTTAATATGTATGATAAAAATATCTTGATGTGTTTCATGTAAATGAAATTTTCCTTGTGATTATACCTAATAAATATATGTATATTACATTTTAAAGATGACTGGATATTGGACTTAAAACTTCCTATCAATGTAGTAAGTAAATGACTTGTATTATAGATGAACTGTCTTTTCATGAGAAATGTTCTTATATTTGATTTATGGTTGTAAGATAGTGAATTCAGCATTTTCATGGCAGAGTTCAACAGTTTTTTCACAATATCTTAGGACTACTTAACAAATTAAAGAGGCATTTCTTCGTTTGAAGGTCAGAAATATGCTATGTTATTATCCTGCAAATTCATGTCTAAATGAGAGTTATTGTAACGCATGTTCCTAATGATGATGAAGTGAGCAGAGAATTAGTAAAAAAAAATACTCGTATTCTGTCAAAACATTGATGTCTTTATGCAGTGATACATGAATATTCTGTCACTGCATCACCAGCTGTATTTAGATATCATGTCAAATTTGAATTATGTATCACAAGGAATTCACCTAAAAACAATTGTGTGGCATGTCAACAGAAGTTTAAATGTGGTCACATGTATGTAATCTAACGGATGGAAAATTAGAATGTATAATTTGAGCATAACATCTTTACAAACAACTGTCTAGCTGGGGCAGGGCCAATATTTGTCATTCATCTGAAGTGAGGCAGCAGTTTGCCATTTCCTACCTTTCAACAGCTTTGCTAAAATTGAATAAACTTTTCTGTATCTCACTTACCTGTATGTTTTGTTCTTTGTTTCTTCTCAGACTCAGATTTTGGAGATTTATTTGGATAATTTAAATTTAAATTCACTGGTAGGATTAATCTTCATATTTCTAGTCTAATTGAAAACTTCATACTTTTTGTAATTTCATAACTGTTACACTTTTGCACCTAAACAGCCACATTAAGTATAAAGACAATAACTTTCACTACTTCACAAAAAAACCCAGGTTGTTCTTGTAGTTCTTATTATCTAAAATAGTTTCAACAATATAATGCCCCTTAATTCAATAAGAAATACTCTTCAATGCAAAAAAAGAACAATAAACAATTAAATATAAAGTATAAATATATGTCACTGAAGTATACCGACCAGGTAACTCATCAAAAATGCTGCTTGCATAAAATAGTGCACAGAGATCACATCTGCCTCAGGGAATGTTTTAATGACCAAATTTTGCTATCAAGTGTGGATTGTATGAGTTAAAAGGCCTCACCAACAGACATAAAACAGGGAAAGGAATCACTTCATATAGGAATGACACATGTATTGGATTTTGCTTTACTTTTTTGAGGATGAGACTGACTAAGTGATAATAACATTTGTATGTACATACAACTTCATATGTACAAGTACTTGAATATCATCTTCCTTGTGTTTCACATGGAATTACATGTGTACTGGATCCATCTTGAAATTGTATTTTTAGTATTTTTAAAATATCAGAAAGAGATAATAATTCTATACATGAAAAATATACATTAAACAGAATGTCTTTGTAAACAAGATCTATGTATTAATACATGATGGCACCAAAATAAGCACTGTTACAAGCTGTACTAACCAAACTTCTGACAATATTTATGCCATCTGTAAACACATGAAAGATGATAATTCATAGTTAGACTAGTGTACATTACTCTATAGGCTTGAACTACCGCTTTTCAAACTCCTCTTCTGACTTGTCGCTGATCACTGTGACTTGACTTAATCTTTAATTCCAGTGATCTGCGAAATAAGGAACTCTCCAACACCAAAATAATATACAGTTTGGGCTATGCCAAACAAGGGTGCTATGACCAGAATTCTACATAATCCTCCTTTGTAAAACGCCTTTAAACCCTCGTATTTGTACACTTTCCTGAAATGAAAATAAAGTTGTCTCTATAGCTCTATTGTAATAATTACTGATATATCACTGTATTAACATAGATACAGTTTACTTTATCTACATATTCATGTATGTGTCTAGTTGATAAGAGATCTCTTGACACCTGCCACCTCATTATACTTATTGGCTATTGATTTTAATTTTTCTGTTCTTTTCTCTCCTTTCCTTTTAATCATTTTTTCTAACAGAGTCAATCACATAATTTATATATATGAAATAATATCAACATGGAAATGAGTAAAGAAAGACACACTCAACAATAGCACTGAAGCATGAAATATTTCAAAACTGAAAACAGTTCCAGGCAAACAAGATAATCCAATACTAACCTGAAACAATCCACAATGCCGTTGTAAGTCTGTTCTCCTGCTCCCTTTTCAATAGTCTGTAGTCTTGTTTTAACAACTGAAACGTTCAGTCTTTTATCTTTACATTCTATTACAATTTCAATACATTACAATAAAAAATTTATAATCTACCATCAAAAGTAGATTTTAGGTAAATCCCACCTCCAAACCCCAAAAATGGGATTCCATTTCAGAAGAAAAAAATATTGTACCTCTAGTAAACTGTGTGAATGCTGTTAAAATTAGTAACATAAATCCTCCTATTTGTTCTGGTGTGTAGAAAAGGATATCATTGTAACAAATTTTGATGTATGTAATCACTATTGAAGTGTTGGTAGTTCTATATATATGCAGAGTGATTTCTATCTTACCATCCATGGGGTTGACAAATAAGGATGCGGTGCCTCCAGCAATTATTCCAGAAATACAGGTATGATAAAACACAGCTTCAGTACTGTTTTCCCTTCGTTTACCCTAGAAAAGAATAGTGAGCATAAAATAGATAAATTATTTAGAATTGTTTCTGCAAAGGCTGTATACTGCTACTACTGTAGCTAGGTTCTGCATTCTCATTAATTTTCTCCAAAAACAGTTTTTTCTTTCAAGAACTTAGTGTTATCTCAATGTTACAGATTAAATCCCACTTTCTCGATTGGAAATTGTATACATATACTTTGACATACTTAATTAGGAAAAACCAGGCTCAAATCAAGTGCTTATCTAACTGCTGGTTTGTATTAGTGGAATTACTAGGTATATATATTAGAAAAAAAAAACACATCAAAAATTCATTTACTAATGCGATATGCCCTAATTATAAAACTGCCCCTTACTAGAAGCATTGCAGAACATTTTACAACTGCATGTATTTACATCTGCACAATTTTAATTTATACACAACAAGGCTAAAAGATGTAAAACAAGAAATCACCATTGCATTTAGGTGAGCAAAGTAAGGGAAATATAAAGCTGAAAATGTGACATCTCTCAGCATTGTGGCTGCACACCCCTGGTACAGACCAGTCAGGCCCTTTTCTCTCAATAGCATTGAGATGATTTTCATGGCTGTCAGCTTGGATGCAGTGCCTGCTCCATTGGCGGAAACATTTAAACGAGCTGCAACACATATGAAATAAGAAAATGTTATTAACACTTCGAATTAAAATAAAAAGAAATTAAAACAAATCTGTTATAAAAAATGTTTTGTTTCAGTGTGTTTCTATCAAAACAGAACAAATTTTTAATAAAGCCCTGCCATTTGTAGCCTTTCTCTCTCTAATATTGCAATGAAATATATTTTTTTTATTATGAATATGAGATTTACTTTTTGATCATTATGCTTGATAAGATCATGATGAATAAAGAACAGTGTAAGTGATATTGTTAACTGAGAATACTTCAGAGATCAGACAAATCGGCTGCATGTACATCATACTTTTTTTCAGCAAGTAATTTTCAAAAGTGAAATTAAATACCGCTGGTTCAGTTTTTTAACTTTAATCACCAACCAACATCATATGTATATATCCAAATTCCATTTTTTATAAATTTTTTAGAAAAAGAGCAGTGGTAATGTCTTTGATATGATATATTCACACACAAACAAAAAGTTAAGATAGTCTCTACAGGATGACAGACAATAAATAGGGAAGTTAAGGTAATCAATAGAACAAATATCTAGACCCATATGCAAGATTTATTTATAAATATATTGACAATGGAATGTGTTGAACATCTGTCTGAAGTATATACTGACCACTTCGTCCAGCATCCTGCAGCTGTATCTTAATGAGTTCCATTGGTGTGGTAACAATGATCTGGAATAGTCCTGCTCCTGCCCCACACATAATCTCCCGAGGCAGCGTCAGCTTGCCAGTACTGAAATTTTTATTTACAATCATAACTCCTGCATTAAATTCAATGTTTAACTTTTTAATCAAGTTCTTTTCAAGCTTACTATTTCTTTCAGTACTACGTGTAAGTAAACATGTACTTTAAGTATATTCAATTCAATATTTTTCCTAGATCTATTCCTGCTTAACCGATGGAACCATGCATGTCTATGGTCAAGGTAATATATTAAAAGTATATGTAGAACAAGTGACCCAAAGGGCTTGCTTCACTCATTTGGCAGAAATTACTTTATCTAAACTGAAGGAAAAGGATTCTAAAGCTTTATATCTCTTTCTTCACTGGGCGCAGCTCCATCATGTGGAAACAGAGAGGTTGGACTTAGGAATCTATATCAAGTTATGTAATATCCATGGGGATATTTTTTATTAGTAGTACTTATGGAAAGTACAGAAACTTAAAATAAAAAGTTTAAGACAAATAGACTAATCAACATGTATCAATAATTCATTTTCTGGATTTTAATCAGAAGGTAAACAATGATTCTGGGCCTGTAAGCCTTTAAAGTACAATCAATGTTTGTTCTGTCTATTCATACATCAGAACAAGCATTTACCTGTATTATAAAATCAGTCGTTCACAGTATATCTTATCTGCTATCTGTAAAACAGGTAGCACACCACACCACATGTTACTGCCAATGTCTAGGCATAATGGTGAAGTACATGTCAACATAACTACATGATAAAAGATTAGAATGGGCACACATGTGTCCTTCTAACTCTGTAATACCTCTAAATACTTATCAACAGGAGAAACAATGGATTTACCAACATTCCATTAAAGATTTCAGATTTTATATCTAATTCAGACATACATCTTACAAGAGATCAACATAAATAGTAATTCTTCACATCAAGGACAAGTATCATGAAAAAATTAAATACGTACATCTAGATGTGTTTCAAGTTTTTCAATAAAATTGCTTATATTAGATAAAACTTTGACGTTACAAACTGACAATAATCCATGAATATTACCAAGATTAGGATTCAAACAATGATAGTTTTTAATAGATATATCTCCAATAATTCTTTTGATTGATGCATGTTCACATTCAAATAAATCATAAAATTCATCACCAATATTATTACTACAACACAGATTACAAGTTCTGTTAAATCAATGTAGAACTTTTGGACCAAGCCAATAATTAAGGCACTTTAGATTCTAACACACTGACTAGCTAGAGACTCCCTTGGGACAATCACTCCTCAGAAACTATAAATAATCAATACCTGGTACTTAATGATTTCATTACAGCCACATACTCTATTCTATTCTCTCATCACACATAATCATCACAGGATTTTTTCAGACCCTGCTACATTAACCCTCTGTCTAGTCGCAGCATTGGGCAAACAAGAGCCTTACAAATGTCCATTATAAATACATAATGGTAAAGTGCATTTATTATATAAGTTCTGTGAAAAACTTTGTGGGTTTATATGGAATGGCAGGTCACTAGAATTCAGCATTTTATCCATCAATAAGTCCATTCTTGGAAATACACCCACTTAAAACTGTAGCTGTTCAGTACATGTTCTATTCAACAAATGCTTTTTCATTAACGAGTAAGATGAAATGTGTTGACTTCCTGGGATAATTGTGGTATAAAGGTTGTCAGCCAACATAATAACAAGATGATATTCATGTACAAAATAAACTTTTTATATAATCAACACATTTCTTATTGATTTTGATAGTCATTTGAACTTTGATGATTTTTGCATTTAAGTTTTATCAATTCAAGAATCTTGCCGAACAGCATGTCATCTACGATACATTGGATTACAAAAGACATTTTTCACATTGAAAGTCAACTTTACATACATGGTCATTCATCTTTCCCTTCCTTCTAATTAAACTTGAGGATTGTACAAAAACCTCTCTGGACAATAATACAGTATAAGGAATTTCATATACATTTGTATGTATGTTTCAATGATAATGAGCACTTAAGTGGACGTACACATATTTATGCATGTTAGTATGTAATCATGTTATCAAATGCATTCAAAGCAACAACCCTATGTAAGAAGTCCAATGTAACACTTTCACAGTGCATTTAAGGACAACTAACTGAAAACTAAAGAGATACCTGTCCTTCTATCTGCCATCTAGCTACATATACGAATTGCAAGAAACCATTTACATGATATCATGAAGTGCATTTTTAATCTTCTGGATTATCCTACCTTCCATCTTTAAGGTGATGACGAAGGAAGTCATTGCCCACAAGTTTGATAGCTTTCTCTGGAGTTATCAGGACCAAGTTGACTCCAGACCCTACAGGAGAAAATATTAGGTTAATCATGAGTTATCAGAATTTTTTACTTGTATTTTGTTAAATAGGTGGTTTTTTTAAAGGATATAGTGTCTAACCAATCAAAATAGACTAACAATTAAAATGGGTAGAATATACATAACATTGTGCATTTCCGGATTTTAAGCAAACAATTTCAGGATTCCTTCAGGCTTCTGACTGAATTTTCTTGTCTGAGAGTATACATAGGCGATTTTTCTGATGTGTAAAATTTCTGTCTTATGCATGTATACTTAGAGAGATTTTCTACCTACCTCTGTACATCCCAACGAAACCTTCATTTCTGTACGTTTTCGAAAAGCAGTCCCATCTATAGAAGAACAGAATACATACAGAAAACATTAATATACTCAAAATGGCTAATAAATCTCAGTGTTAAATAATTAAAACACAGTTGCAAGCTTTAATATATCAACACTAGACATTAGCAATGTCCACTTGGCTGATATGTTGTTTCTTTAACACATCAATGATAACATTGATGATTCAGAAGTTATTTCGTTGTTTTAATTTGTTTACTAGTAGGACATATTGGATGCCGTAATGTTTTCTTATGATTTCTTAACCATAACGGTAAATATTTTAACAAGCTCAGAGTTTTTATAGAAATGTTACAATATAATGTCCTTGTCTCTAAACTATTGTCTTTTCTTCATATACCCCCATCACAGGTTAGTTGTTTTTCATTTTATCATATATTTTGAATTTACAAAAATGTTTTCAAGAATTAAGAAATCATATGCCCATGAGATATAACCACTACACTGCTATCTAAATAAACTACTTACAGACTGCGGTAGAGGAGTTGGCCATTGGGTCCTGGCTGCTGGTTCTGTAGTCGTGTCTTTGTCAAGTCAATGGGGAACACACAAGTTACCCCTACAATTCCCGCTACACCCCCATTGATTATTTTAGGTAATAACCTGAAATATTGCAAACAATTTCAGTGACACAGATAAAGGTATTACAAATTGTTACAACTTTGATAATTAAAACGTTACAAAAATAATTCAAGAAAGAGATAAAAGCTTACACAAATATACAAAATGTTTTCAAAGCATACAACAGAGAGAAATGTATTTCCTTTACCTTTCAATAAGTCATTTATTTTATTAAAAAGACAACTTTTTATTTGTAGCAAAATTCACTAGTGACTTTGCTTAATACATGTACTTACGAAAACTCCATCAAACAATGGTTTCCTTGATAAGAACGGGAGACAGTGACTTCAGCTGGTGATCTTAATTGTTCTGATTTGATGTAATTAAATAACACTGCTATCCACGTTATGTTTGGATCGACCAAACCTTGCTGCAATGTACTAACTTACATCAGGTTCACCTGCAATTGGAACAAGAATGTGATTTAGTAATGTAGAACAAAAAGGACTAGTTCTTAGTACATCTTCAAAATCATACCACAACTATTAATTAGTCCAAGTAATGTTCAATCACAATTACACACACCAGGCATCACCAGTAAGTCGTACATTTATTTTGATTTGTCAATCTTTGTTAAAACTATCATTAAGTTAAGCAGAGCTCATGTTATAAACAGCACTGCCCTTATGTGCATTTCTGTCCTATTGTATATGAAAATCAGAACATTTTTTCAGCATTCACAGTTTAGAATGTACAAATAACAGCAGTCTCAATTGAGACGTCAGCTAGAACAAAGCTAGCACCCAGAAATTTGCTTCCTAAGATACAAAATGGTACTAATCAAAAGTAATGAAACATTCAGATACCCATGCATACTGTAGTTGTTTTCAAGTATGTGGTGTGTTGCTCAGTGCAGAATATATAAAAATACTAATACCTACAGGTTAAACAGCCTGGGCATGATTCCATGACAAAACATGAGAACCAAGAGGAATCTAATGGCACCCACAATTGTTTGATAATTATTTGTTCTTTAAAAGTTGGGTCTTTTCCCTTCTTTTCTCTGGTTTCCTTTGTATTTTCTTTTCACTTGTATGAAAATTGAATGATCTTTCACTATCAAATTAAAGATGGTTGCTTGTTGCCCATTTTGTTTTTATGATCAGTCCCAAAATCAAAAGTGCACAAATAGGAAGTAAGGAAAATTACAGATGAAATTTGTTAAAGATCCATCCAGTATTTCATAAGAAATGGCAACACCAAAATTTCATTGTTAAAATCCAAGATGATCATCTACCTGCCATTTCATAACTTTGAACAGTTCTAAAATAACAAGTGCTCAACTAGGGACCATTAAGGGCATTCATAAATCTGGAGTGAGAAATATAGGTCACATTGAACTAGTTATAATACACCTTCATCCTTACATGTACATGAAACTGCAAGTTAAACTATGGATATCTTGTGATCTGATGATCTGTCATAAAATATAATGTAAAACTGAATCATTTGCTCAATAACTTTGACCCAAATTTACTTCACAGAAACACAGATATACATGTACAAGGGCAAAAACCTCATTGAATGAGGCATATACTTGTACTATTATCATGCAAATTAGCTCACTGTCTCTCCATACTGTCTAAATCTTTAAAAACTTCTGAGTTTTGGGCATAAATTGTCAGCATAACCAACACCATCACCAAACCTGGTTCTACCCAAATGGGATACTGGTGTCATATTTATCACTAAGGCCAAATCTGTACTAAAAGGATTTTGTATGATTTAAGTCTTCTAGTAATGGGAGACAGATAATCCAATGTTCTGGTTAAGATAAGAATACCTCTGTCTTACCCAAGATGGATATCAAGCATGCACAGTGGTAACATTAATGCATGAACCAAGAAGTCAGAAACAGTGAGCAAGACTTAAATAATGTTATGCAGTGTGATAAGTTTCACATTAATTGCATACACTAGGAAGAGTAAGTTAAAGCTCTGACATATAAAACCACATTTATCTTTTTTTTTTTTGTGGAAATTTTTGGCAGTCTGTGTCACCGAGCCTTGGATTCTTGATGCCAGTAACAACATTGAAATTTGAAGAAGGTCAAAGTTCACAAAATGTTGGGGTCAATGACGTCATCATTTACTATCATCGGAGCTTCATATGCACAACTCAGTTTACAGCCACAGGCTATTTTCGTCCACTTACAATTTAGAATATGTAATACTTGTTCATCCCAGATTTCTTATGCACATTTAAATGTGTTTTCAGAGTGTTTGCAGTCAGTTGAAAGTTCTTCTATTCAAATATTATAATTACAACAGTGAGAGTTATGTGACTTTGACAGCTTAACATTTTCCTACACATTGCTAGCATTATAGGAACACTTTAATATAACAAAGTAACCAGAAAGATTCTGTTTTAATAGCATGTATATGCCTTAACAAAGTATACAATACATTACTTGTGATGAAAAATGTAAATGAAACTATGTATATTGATTGAAGTGCAGCTTTAATATTCTAAAATGTCTATATTCAACTATCAAAACTATTCAAATATAATGTACATGCAAGAAGACATCTGTAAGCAGGCATAATGTGGAGCACATGTCAGAGCATGTTATATGATCATGACAATTACCTAATAAAGTAATACAGGTAAACTTATGCTAGATGTTTTACTCCAAGTATACAATACTATTACCCACCTGTAGTAACTGCCTTGAAAGCTAATCATAATCACAAAAATAGGACCAGCTGAAATTATATACATATATTAGGTTGGATTGTGTATAGAAATGGGATTATATATGAGATTTCAGCATCCTAATTAAGGTCATATGAGAATGGATCATTGGGAGACACCAAAGTACATTAACTAGCCTGAATATCACTAACTTTTCTTGTAAAATCTACAGTATGTATGACTGTGTGTGGATACTAATGCACAAAGTACATTCTCGAGAGTTGAGATGGACTTTCACCATGACCTTGTATACCTAAAACAAGAGAAAGAATGGGCCTGTATCATTTATCAGCTCTGATGAGTTTTACAGATATGACATGACTGGAAGGGTTAAAGAAGGTATTACTTAAATATTAATCTTATACATTACACCTGTTCTTTACCCTGTATACATATAAATGTGCATGTTCCAGACCAAATAATGAAACTTGGATTTCCTTATCAAGAACAGGTTATTGGAATATTTTGACAATACTACCCCTGTAAACTTGCTTGGTTCATATAAGTGATTTTGTTACTGAGCACTTGCAATTACAATTGATGACAAAATACTATATAACTTTTAGTATTTTTGGTAAATTAAAAGTTTATCAAAACTTTTAATACATTAGATCCTTGTGACCTTAAAGAAGTCATCCATTTTGCAGTTTGTCCTTTGATCACTCTAGAATGCCATATTTAAGGCTTAATATCTCAACACTGGCCCTCTTCATTATAGTTATTAAAATGTCATTAAAATATGTGAATGCAACTATAAATGGAACACAGGGACTTTGAAAAAACATCCATGTCATTCAGTATAATGACCTTGGTAGCACTTTTCACCCTAACATGTCACTGGTCCAAAATTATGACAATAACATGACAATGAATCTTTAATGGTTATAAAATTTTGTTTTCCATTGCTTTTTAAGATTTAACACAACACATTTAACCCCCTTTACCTTGACAGTGGGTCAAGATCATCCATTTGAACATGTCAATGCTTAGACAACATGAAATTATAAAGCTGGCATTGCGGTTGGTTTTAACACATTTCATTTGATCAATACCATAATATGCATATTTTGTAAAAGGCAAAAATTTGGGTACAACTTAGATGTTGGGTTATTCACAATCAAAAGAAGCCATATGTAAATATCAGCATATTGGAACCCAGTGACCTTGGAACAGTTCAAGATCACTGACTTGAACAAACTTCAATAATTTAACCTGGCAGGTTACTTGCCCAATACCAATATCTTGACTCTAAAGTTGTTAAAATGAAAAAAACTACCTTAAACTCGATTTTTACAGATTTTAAACCTATTACACATTAAGAACAATCCATCAAACTGCAAGGAAATTCATACTTGATATCTGACACATTAAATGCAACAGCACAGACCTATGTTTATTATGTAAATAAAATGCTAATAACATCTCCATTTTTCACCGTCTGATAGCTTTAATGGGAAAGATTAAATGAATTATCAAGTATATATTACTGTTATGTGAATATAGATCCTTTTTATGCAAAGTAAAATGTACACATAAATGGATGGGCCCTTAAACATATACATTAATCAACTATTGCCTTGACAAGGCAGTTATCATTATCACTATCAAGTGTGAAAAGAAAACTGAAGCAATCAATGACAGTTTTAAAAAGATATATATAATGCATACGGCCTGACAGATGTGCAAATGATGCAGGTGCATCACTCCTCACAGTTTTGTGAACAATGACATGTTCTTGTCAGATAGCCGAAACAAATTTAAAAACTGATTATAAAAAGCTAACATTGCGAAGTGCATAATTTACTGTTATAAAAAGCCACCATAATTGCACACTGTTAAATATAGTAAATTCATTTAGTTTCATGGTGATTTTATTTTCATTTAATTCATGGTTACTTCCATAAAATGAAAAATGGGCACTGAAAGGACAATGTCATCAAGATCCCCTGCCCATGTTCATTTGTAAAATATATACATTTAAAGTGACCGACATAAACATCTGAAGTATTCAAAAGCATTTATCGTTCATGTTCAGTTTAAAGTTCCATTGAAAGTGGTCAATATAATAACAATGCAGTAGCATAATACTGTGAATATTAAAATCAGCTTATCATACCTTTAGATTCCCGTCTCTTACCCAATGGTGATGATAGAATATTTGTCAGTGATGCTATATCAATCAATGATTCTATTTCTGCTCAAGTATGACAAAACAGTGAAATGGTTTATACACATCAATAAAATACAATAAAGAATCTAATTGTCACATATGTAAAATTGCAAGAAAGGTACTATCAGTAAAACAAATCATAACCGGTTCCTTCAAAAGATTACATGCAGAAAGCATTCAGTCAGAATGCCGAAAGATATCAGGCCACAGCAGTCTCATGAAATATGCATAGAATTTGCTGATAAGCAAACTTGAAAAAGGAATTCAGGTAATAAGTCTACAAAGCAAGTTTCCAAAAAATCTTATCATTCCTTCATAAGATAATGTGCAGAAAGCATTCCCATAGAGTGATTAAAGAAATCAGCCAACCAGGTCAAAAGCAG